TATGCGTAGTTGAAAGACTAATCTGTGAATTAAAAGATTCAATATTCAAATATTTTGCATATTCTGAAAAATTTTTTTTCAAAATGCGCCAATTACTTGAAATAATATGCTTTTTATAGTTCACAGTCTAGTTGCTAAATTCAATTAAATCTGTTTACATTCATTTCAAATTTATTTTATTTTAGTCAAATTTCGTTCAACCTCATCACTGTCGAAGTTGTCACTGCAGTGGTGAAATCTTACCAGTAGGATTTGGAGCCATATCACTAAGCACAACATCGACAGTACGCCCATTCAAAAGACGCAATATATTTTGATGTGTTTTTGGAGCTGTGATATCGGCCTGGTCCAGAAAATGAACGCCCGTAATTGGAAGTATTGGCTGGAAAAGCAATAAAATAAACTCGAGAAACACTCGAATGATCAAAAAATACCAAGAATTACGAGAGCGCCTGCACAATGGGTGGGGGTATTCGATGTCAGTGTTAATACTTGGATGCTCTAACAACGTCGGAAGCCAGGCCAATAAAAAACACAAAAATAATAATTCGAGACGGTACGCTGGGGCACTGAATTTGTGGGGCTTTCCAGATTACATTAACAGAAAGCTCGAGTGATTTTGTGACGCATGCTGAAGGCTACACGTCAGAAAACTAGCAAAATCCTAGACTGAAGCTCGTCGCACTGACGAATTCGCTTGACGAATGCTGATCAGCAGGTCTAACACATGGCCCACTAAAGTATGACTGAAGTCCTCCAAACGATCATTGTGAGAATCAGCATACTTGAAGATCGATCCCTAATATAAATGCATCGGGATATAAACTGGGCTGCACAATGTCAGCTACAACTTGACACCAGGAACCAGGTGCAGCACCAACATCAACAACCACCATGCCTGAATATTAGAAAATAATATGCATTTTTGCAAAAGCACCAAAAATGCAAAAACGCACATAATACCCAATTTTCTTCAGAGTAATATATAACTGGCCAACGCACGGGTTGCCCCTGCGAAGATGCGTTTTTTGCATAGTTCTCCGCAGTTTTTGTCTTTACCGGTATCTGTTTTTTCGGCAGATGCTTCTAGCTAAACAAATTAAGACCGGCCGCCAGAGTTGGCAGGAAACACCCCCTTAAAATTTAAGCTTTCTAGTTTTCCTGGCCCCTGAGTTATCAATTTAC